ACTAACCTGACTCCAATAATCACATAGGCTTACATTATATATTTTGCTATTCCGTTTATCCTGTGTGGAGTCGCTCCATACAATTCACATTTTCCATGAATTTAATTCTTGAAATGTTTTTGTGTGTGCTTGTGAAGCCTCCCTGTTACTTTATTGATCTTGTGGGTTAACTGTAACAATTTTTCTTCCCACAATTAATAGCTCCTTGTGTCCTCCTGTTTGCTCCTTGCCTCCCTTTATACAGACCAAAAATAAATTTTAATGAAAGCCTGGCAAGTACTGACAGTAATTAAGACGCAATGCAATCAGCTCACTGAATCCCCAGAGGAGTGCATGGAGGTTGTGGTTACATGAAGCATTTATCATCTTGAGTTCAACATTCTTGAGGTCAGAATGAAATTCATGTGAGTTCATAGTTTTCCAGAAGTGCTGAAGAAGACACTTGTGCCTGAGCTCTGAAGAGTGAAAGGGTGTGAGAAAGACAAAGAGGCATAGTAGGGAGGGGTAGACACCTACAGTGTCTGTGTTTTAAAAAAGATGTTGGTGCAGATTTGTAGGTGCAATCACTTCTTGGAATGTGATTGTATCTTATTTTGCTGATAGGTGATAAAAGTAAATATAGATAGATCTGACGAGGACAAAATATCCCGTAAAGTGTGTGCAATTATCTTTTTCAGCAGAAAGTGACAATAGTTCACTTTGCTGATTGAGTGTGCCCTCTGGTGTTTTAACCTATAGCCAACGGACACATACTTACTCCCTGACCTTCCCCTCAGACATGCGATAACAGGGAGGAGGATATAGTTGGGGGAGGGAGGCATGGACGCCGGTGGCTTTAAGGAGCCAACGCCCTAAACTGGAATTTTCATACCATTTTCAGTCGCTTAGTTTCCCACGTCAAACTTTTTGATTGCGCTTGACAAACTTGGCATAGCTTGCCTATGCAAAATATTTTCAGCAGTAGTGCAAATGTTTCACCGAGATATGGTTTCATTTATAAACGCAAAGCAACACAAAATGAATATGTGATATTAAATGTTTCTCGAAAGTCCAGAGTCCCACTCTGGAAAGACACACCCTATATCGAAGCTCAGGTGGGTTGGTTGTGTGTGTGTGTGTGTGTGTGATACATGATACCCAAACAAAAGACACTGCAAGACTGAACTTGTAGAGTTTGTCTAAAACCAGTCTAGTAACAGCTTTTGTTTTAAAAGCAATAAAGTGAAAACTGGGATGGTGGACTTTCTGTACTCTGTCATTAGATATTCTGACATTTTACCCTGCAGGATAATTCCTCTGGAATCTTTTTGTTGCATCAGATAAGTCAAGGTGTTGCAACTGCTGCAGACATGGTTCATTAAGTCAGATTTGGTAATACTCATCTGTCATCGTGCAGTGGAGAAGCCACCCTTTATTCTTTCCGTCTGCATGATTCATTCAGATATACATGGAAGAGACGCTGGTGAAAGTAAGCAGGCTGTTGACTTTCTCTTTAGTTCACCTCATAGTAAATATATAACCTAATGTTTGTTTCCAGGTCTCAAATCCATCATGGACTTTGCTAGAACACAGATGTGAAGGTCACTAAATCAAATGCAAAAGCTGAATAAGAATAAGTTCACTCAACCATCCAAATACGTTCCAACATTATGTCTAATTAGTCACACTTACCCTGATACCAGCTAGTACTGTAACCTCACACATTTGATATCATTTCCAGACACTGATACTGACATCATGCGCTGAGTAAACAGGAAAAATGAACCCTGACAGCTGGTATATTTAACTGCAGGCAAGTGACACTGTGTCACCCATTAACCTCTTGTCCACACAGATGGTTCTTCAGACTTTCCAGTGTGCAGAACAATACTGTAAAAGAGACATTTCCTCAAGATAACTTACAAGAAAAACAAAAAACAAAATGCTGTAGTGCATGAGTCAGGGATCTGGGATTGTCACGCTTGTTAACCCAGCAATAGAAAAACAGAAACTCTGCTCACTTTTTTTAAGGCTTTGTTTGGAATAAAAATAAATAAATAAACATAATTAGCCTTGAAAAGGCCAATCCTTTAGCAGGTCATTAAACTCCCCCAAATTCCTGACACTATAACAGAGGACATGACCTTAGCCAGAAACAGCATAATGACCATGCCTCAGTCGTCAGTTCCCAAAATAGGCTATTTCATAATGAGCCTCCTTTTTTTGTCATTTCATTTCTTCAATAATATTTGAAAGAATTTTAAAACCAAGATGCTTTAATGTCATGATGTGTGTTTATCATTTTGCAGTGATAGTGTCCACAATCATTCTCATTGTCTATGATTTTATTACTTTACTTACTTTGACGATGACCCCTAAAGAATAAATCAAACATTTACTCTGTGTTAGACTTTGAATCCAAACTGCACTAAAACACTATCATGATGGCTCTTTTTGTCTCTATGAAAGGTTATCCTATGGTTTTGATCAGGACATTATTGGATTGCAGTATTTGAGCACATTAAATGTGGCCTACGTGAGATTACTTAGTTCTGGAATACTGAGTGCTGTGAAATTGCAGTGATAACGTTTTGCAGCTCATGTGTCACTAGCTGGTTTGTGATACAGACACCGACAGCATCACACCTGTTCATGCAGACATGAGCTGACTCATATCATCATAAGGGGCGGATCCTGGACACACCTGTATGAGTTGCTAGGGAGTAATAAGCGAGCTTGAATGATAACAAACAGCACCGCCGCAATGAAGTGATGGTACAAGGGTTGACTGGTTTCTGTTGACTCACAAGCATGCTGGATTACAATCAAAAGCATTGTGTGAATGGAACATTTGGATAGGATACAGAAAATAAACCCTGTGATTAATGATTTATTTTTTTGTTACCTGGTAGACATAGTAGAGTACATAAAAAGACAAAAGAGGAAAGGTCAAGATAAAGGAGATTTCTTATTCACTCATTAGATGTTGCACAATACAATGATAATTAATAACAGGCCTTTAACCATGAGAAATATGTTTTCCTGTATTTTGGGAGAATTTTAGACTGTATGTAACAGTCAGGTGACACCACAAACATTATGAACATGTTCATATTTCACCAGCACTGACTTTTCTGTAAATAATAATAATAATAATAAAAATATTTTTGCTTTGGATGTTGCGTGGTTTAAAAATGGTCTGCATACACTACAATGAGAAAACAGCAGTGCTGTTGTTCCAGTCTGCCGCCAGGGGACATCAGTGTGCAACAAAAGACTACAAGACACCGCAGCCCATTTGCACCCTTAATCGTCCTTCCATTGCCCTCCAAAAAATGGTCACGCTTCCAACCCACGGTAAAATGTATAATGTACAATATGGGTCATATATAAAAGATGTTTGCATGACATCAAGGTTTACCTAAATATATTTATTATAATTGCTTTATTAATAATCGTTTAGAGGAACTGTACACACCTGAAATAATAATAAAAACAAACTAAGTAAGTAGTAAATGCCTTATTTGAGAAACGAAGAAAAAATACTGTTAAAAAGTTTTTAAAAAGATAAAAAAAGAGAGACAAAAATAAATAAATAAAAATACACATGCACTAGCACATAACGGCCAGGAGGGTGAGGCATTGCCAAATGCACATGTGGTGTAGATAAGGAGTCTACCATCACATGGTCAGATAAATATAGGTTATGAAGATATGAATTGAACCTCCGCGACAATTAACCGAGAAAAAAAAGTTATTTATTCAACATGTCTGTGATGTTGAATTTGTATATTTGGGAGGGGGAAGGGGGGGGGGGACTAAGTGACCAAGTAAATGTAGTCTTTAATTTTGTGACTGTGGGCCCTGATAATAATTATCATAGTGAGTTATGAACATGTCTTCAAGGTTTAAAAAAAAAAAAGGGATTTACTCAAAATTTCACTGAGTAAAATGGTTGCTATTTAATGTGGTGATGCTTACTAGTGATTACTGCAAAACCGTTTCTAAGCTGTAGTCCATGTTTTGATTAAACATTTTAAAAGTAAAGTAATCATCCATCTGGGGTTCTGGGGTGATGTTAGGTTGATATAAGGCGCTAAAAAAAATCTGGAACACAAACCTGAGCTGCTGGAGGTGGCCAAATCATTTATACAATTTAATAACCTCAAATCTGGTGGTGAAAAAAAAAATCGATGATTATTTTCACTACTTTAAGAAGAAAAAAAAATAAAAATCTTTTATCAGTACCATATGAGCATTGGTTTAAGTACACTTGAACATACTAATTTATATCTTAGTTATAAACATACCACACAGGGAATCAGGGGCTGCCAGTGTTTAGAAGAAAACCTACGTGAGTTTTTAATTACAATAAGACAGCAGTTTGTGGTCAACGTCACAAGCTTCTAAATAAACGTTGTTATGTGCTACAGTTCAGTCTTAGACAAGGTAAATTATTGATTTCCCCGTCTCTCTTGGAGTCAGGCTACAGTTAACTAGGAGAAAACGAACTCCGTTTACTTTCAGTTTGAAAGCAAATTAAAACCTGCTCCCACTCACTTAATTGTCCCGAGTCATCAGTTAAAAATCAGCCCACCAATTGGTCATATTTGTGTAGACCTGAAGCACTACTTCTTATTGCGCGTAATACTGTTTGCTCAAATTGCTGGCACGCACAGTTGTTTTGTTTGCTGGAAATATAGGCGGGGACAACACTACAGTCCCTCCCCCTTCCCATTACAGAACATAATCTTACCTGTTGTTGATGTTTTAAATCTGAGAATATGTGGTTTTTATCTATGGTTTACGCTTAGACTACTTTATTATACCCAATCCTTAAATTATAGAAATATATAAATAGGCTACAAAGAACACCGAGACAGCAATGTGGCCGTTTATCAAAAATATATAGCATCACTCAGACAAACTTTGTACTAATTCCTTTTTTTTCTTTATGCAGGGCCTATTTTAACCTATGTGATTACATTACGGTTCATTGTCTGACTGCAAGAGAAAGTGGTAGTTACCACTGGTTACAAGTGTGGCCACGTTAGGTTAAAGTGATTAGCCACATCCTCCATGGGCAGGTGCGTTACCTGTGGCTTTCCCAGGAAGCAATTCTTTCGCTCTGGTGCTACAGCTCACCTACACAAACAGAATCAGCCGACAGAAAAAAGCGTGGGATAGTTTATGTCGTCGTTTCCCAATTCATCGCAATCCGCCTTTTGTTTCAGGACGCGTGTCTGCAGTCACTCCCGCACGGGTTTTGGTGTCAGACGGAGGGAAGTGCTTCCTGATAATAAGGAGGTGCGTCTTTTTCCATTCCAGTGATTGACTGCGCACGGCTTTCACCGCCGGAACTGGAGGTATTGACGCATTGTGGAGTCGACAGGGGGTAGCACTGCAACCCCGGCTTCGCTACACAACGGAGGCATCTGTAGGGGAAACCGCGATGGCCGTGGTGCAGCTCGAAACGGGGGACCATCAACCTGAGAACGGCTTCGTGTCACCCGAAACCACGTCGCCGGATTTGCTGGCACGCATCGACAGCTCTGTTCTGCCATTTCTAGGTGGATTTGGGAAGTACCAGAAACAGCTGATTGTGCTGACATGGATTCCGGCGTTATTTATTGGATTCAGTCAGTTCTCTGATAATTTCCTCCTCGCCCAGCCAAACAGCACTTGTATCCAGCCTTTGGCAAATCTGACTAACCATAGTAGAGCTCATTCCTCGCTGTTAGGCAGGCCAAAAAACATTAGTGAGCGACCGGATCCAATTTATGTCAATGGAAGTTCCACAAACAACATCACGACCAGAATGTCTTGTAACAACAATGAGTTGACATTCGAGCTGCACACAGGACTTAAGGAAAATGTGGTTACTAAGGTAAGCTATCCATCTTGAGGATAGGGTGGGGGGTCCTTTGTATAATTTGTTATGCATCCTAATAATAGGGTCGATATTACATTAGTAAGATGCGCTTATTAACGCTGCAGTTACAGTGAAAAAACAAAACAGTTAGCCTTAAACGGCCAGGTTAAAATTCTGTCTGATGGTGTTGTGAAAGCACCTCGGTAGTGGTTGTGGTTATGCCTCCATTGTTGCAGTCTTCTCTCCACTTTGGGGCGTCTAGCACCGTCATCTCCAGTGCGGATTTACACAGCCACGAATTGGCTCACGTTGGACCTAAAAGTAGTAGGATTCAGGTGAGGGCATGCATGGTGCTGACTGTGAGTCATCGCACCATCTGACACAATGGGTGACCTGTCACAGAAACAAGTCACCATTGGCACATGGGGCAAACTGCCAGGGCTAGTGGAATTTGCCGGTCGGTTGTCGTAATGGATATAATAGACAGGGAGCATTTGATTTGGAGCAAAGGTCATCACTGTACTCTCTAGAATATTGCAACCCCGTCCCTGATCAAACATCACTCGGCCAATTGCTGTCCTAACCAAACAGCAGTAAGATAATCTTATGGCTCTCATATTGGACACTTTCGGGTTGTTTGTGACTCAGGATTGAGGCCTTTGCATTCCAACATCTGTGCCTGCAGTCTTTGTAGTTGGACTGCAAGCTGCAGGAGGAACATTTTATATCTCCTTTTGCCAGTCTGCTTGTCTCCAGCTGCAGATGCCGCATGTGCATATGAGGATACAAACATTATTATTTTTGTACAAGAAAAAAGAAGAGCAGACCTTTTTCATTATTGGAAATATGCAAAAAATAATACTTATTAATTCTTAGAACAAGGTGCAATTAAACCTTAGAAATAATCTAAATGTTGTATAATCAGTTTGTTTAAAACCTTTAATGTCCACTCTTGCTGTCACACACGCACTCAGTTGAAGAGCACAGGAAGTCACATTCTAGCTGGCAGCAGCTGTACCTTTTCAAGGGTTTTTAAAAAAAGGATGAGCTTAGAAGCTTCACTGTATTGCACACTGCTCGCCTCCATTGTGGTGTCTGCTTTTCATTGATAATGTCCCTTATTACAATAAAGCAAATAAAATGCAGCTGTGGCATTTTAATTTAGCTGTGGGAGCTGGGGCAGTTGAAATCTTGATTTCATTTGCTGTCCACAGGGTAATTTGAGGGCCGGTGCTGCATAAAAGGCCAGCGTGATAAACTGTTCTCACGCACTAGGGGATTCTCACAAGTGCAGCTGAATATAAAGTCATACGTGAAAGAATTTGACTGGGTGGATGCAAATTACTAATAATCAGAACATTTCAGTTTCCCTGTGGCTAAAGCTGAAAACAGGTTTCCCATATGAAGGCTGATGATTTGAAAACAGTCATTGCTCACGCTGCCGTTGCAACTTTGTACATGCTAAGATTTGTGTTGACACTACCACCTCTGCAGATCAGTAACGGGCCTGGACAGTTGCTAAAAGTGTCTGGTAATGCTCGTCTTCTCTAACTCCTGGCTGTCCACATTCAGACAAGGTCACGGTGAGGAGAAGCTGAATCGAATGGCACGCTGTCAAAATCCGAAATTGAAGCAAAAATCTCTCTTGTGCTTGTACTTGTCATTTTCTTTTTCTATTTTGACACTGTCCCTCAGTCTTCCAGGCCTCCTTTTTTGCTCCCCCACCATAGAACACAAACTATAGAATGTGGCACTCGAATAGGAAGTGATGACTTGGCTTTTATCCCTGTGTTTGGATTGCCATAGAAAAACTGCACATGCCTGGGTCTCAGCTATCCATGACAACACTATCCCTAAAAAGCAGAACAGAGTACCAATTCTGACGAAACGCCTTAGTGTCTCTTACACACTGTCTGAAGACAATCTAATCCCACACTGCTCTGCACGAGGTCGGCACTTAAATACTTGTAGATATTCAAACTCTGTGCCATTTTTCCGAACTTGACACGTGATGAGGTGCCAGTGCTCACACAGTGCTTTCTCAGGGTGACACAGAAAGAAGATAGCGTTGAAAGATCCAAAGTGGTTAATGTGGAGACCCATCCTAATTGAGTCAAAGCTCTCCTCAGGGTCCTTCTTAATTGAACCGAGCCTTTGAAATCAGAATATACCATTACTCAGACATAGTCTCTGTGCAACCTACCCTACTCATCTTGCTTTGGGATGGGCAGCAGCTGCACATACTGCCTGAAATAGTGGCCTGAGAACCTCTTCAAATGACAGATTAACCTCTCTAACTCATGCTTTATCAATTTGGTTGTTGTATGATAATCGGATGCACCGGGCAGTAAAGGACTGATGATGATGTAATATTTACATGATTGATTCTCCTCTTGGGAATTGGACTATCATGACACTTTAAAAAAGAATTACTTTTTCATTGTCAAAAACTTAAAACAAAACAAAAAAAAAGATGAAGTATCTCCTGATGTGTCTCTAAATTGCACTGCATTGCATTGTAAACCAGTTGTGTATTCCTCGCACTGAAATCAACAAGAAATGGCATTTTTAAATAATAAATGACCTAAATGATTAAATAAAGAACTGCTAATTGCTGAGCTGAAATGGTTAGCCAGTTAATCAGTTAGTTAATTGGAGCCCCGCGCTTTATTTAATAATTGAGAAATATAATTGAGAACATTAGAATAACTGTTAGGAGCAGACGGATTGATTAACCAATCAAACAACTGTTTAGCTGTGCCCGTACTGCACTCATACAACTGTGCCGTCTTCATGTTGTTCTCCTCGTAGTGTAGGTTAGGTTCTTATGAATGTGATAAGGACGCTATGTTTTAAAAGCCTTGGTGGGTACACCCAGACACGGTATCTCTAACTCGAGGCTGCACACCCATAGATCTGAAAGATGATACTGTAGCTGAACACCCATGCAGGCCCCTCTGCTCTGTGTCCCTTCATGCTGTTTACCCAGCTGGTTGGCTCCTTCCACAGACTCTGGATCAGTGCGGGACACTTTGAAATAGCCTCAGCTGTCGAAAGGCGACGACCCCGCTGCAGATACCCAGTCAGCACACAATGACAGCCTCTCACAGTGTCAGCTGGGAGGAAAGATGCTTGTGTGACCAGATGATAAAACTCTGCTGAGGCGCTGTGTGTGTGTGACAAGAATGTGTGCTGTGCCGCTCTTTTCTGATAAGTGCTGTTTTGGAACAGGGAGGGGTGAAAGCTGTGACCCTTTGCTATGGTTTAAGTTTGTGTTTTCTATGGATGGTGTGATGGAATTTGGGTAATAGGAGTAATGGCTTTTCAATACATATGAAGTCTGGCTGCTGACAGATATATGTAGTTGTGCTAACTATCAACAACAGGAGGGCATGAATAATACATGGTCAGGCAAAGGTTTGTTGTTTCACAAGCTGTCACTGTTGATCACAGTAAAGTAACACTGCCATCAGCCAACTTGTCAAACATGGTATGGTATCTTATGTAATGTTTAGCATAGCCTGCATCTGAAACATGTTCACACTGATAATGTGACATCAGGTTCAGTCCCTAAGGCTGCAGATCCAGCATCACATGTGTAATGTTCCCTTTTTTGACTTCTTTTACCCCATATTTTCAGTGTGTTATGGGACGCATACTATAGGTCTATGTTTTTCCAAGAACTCACCCTCCTTATACAATAGTTTGTTATATCCTCACCCAGCTACCACCACAATATAGGGTTTCACCCCTCCAGCGGTGGTAAAACTTGCACTTGGAAGCAGACAGAGTCAGATAACCTCAGTGATGGTCTGTTGCTAGGCAGTAACTATGCAGCAGTCTCTCCCTGTGTTTTCTGCTGTCTCCTCACAACTGCTTTTGAGCATTTCTTTCCCTCTCTCTGTCTCTCTCTCTCTCTGTCTCTTTCTATCCAGTTATCTTTTGCATAAATGTGTTCCCTGCTTTATTTTTTTGCTTCTCCCTCCATATCTTTGTATGTTCTGTGGTTACATTGTACAATTATGCCTCCTTCCCCCTGTGCTTGTCTTCATCTCTCTCTCCCCCCCTCCCTCCTTTGTGGCCTGCTCCCTCTCCTTTGAAACCCCCACCCACCACTGTGTAGTTCAGCGAGTGCAAAAATGTGCAGCTGTGGTTGAGCATCTTCATCTCAGTGGACTCGATGGTCTAGACTGATCACTGGTGGTCGTTCTTTTGTAAGAGATCAACAGATTTCCTTGAGATTTTGACTGATTTGATCTTAGCCCTTTCATGGTTTGCATCTTATCTCAGCTAAGTGATTCATGTGTACAGAAGCAGTCTCTCTCACTGACTTCTATTCATTACTCACAAAATGAGCAAGACAATAGCAAGGAAACAAGTGACAAATCAAACCTGACAAAAAGCATGGATCTGACTCAAGGTGATGATGAATCTAAATTTTAAAGATGCTATTTTTCTGTTATGGCTTAAATATTTGTCATCCCATGTCTCCCTGGCTTTTCTAAAAACCGTATGCCCAGTAATGGCTGTTGCACAGATAAAGAACCAGGTTTTAGTCAAAGTTCGAAACAGAGTTAAATGATCTAGAAGTAACCTTAATAACAGCTGGTCAAGCCTTCTACTGTAGAAAGGTCCTTTATGAACACAGGATACAGTGACACATACTTTATGAAAGGAAGGCCGATAATACGGTCCAACAATTCAAAGAGACATGTTAGCTGACTCTCCCTGGGAACAAGCATGTAATACAACTGATAAGTGACAGAAGCCATCATGCAAATTACACCCGTGTTTTCCTGCTTCTGTTAAAGCGTGTTAAAATGCAGATATTTTTGACATTCAGCAGGTTTTTTGTTTTTGTTTTTTTTAATTCACATGCAAAATAAATGGGCAAAATAGGAATTCCACAGTGTGTGAGCTGTTTTTTTTTCTTCTTTACATTAAATCTACAGATACATTATGAATGTTTTTATATGCTCCTATAAATTTGTTGCCTTGTGTGTACTTGCACTGAGTCTTTAGAAAAATGCTCTATAAATAAAGATAATTTGTTATATTGAAATGATCCAAGTGGTTGTTGTGTAACTCTGTCTGCAGTGGTTACTTCCTCATGTTGAGTGCTGCTCTATTACCAACCTTTAAAAATGATCCCTGTTTCATTTTTAGGCTGACTTTGTCCAAATGAAGGCAATGGTTAAAGTAAAAATATGAGCAGACAGCAGGGTGAGCTTATTTATTAGTCAGTCCATTTCCTGACTAGTAAGTTATATTCTTTTTGTAAATTCCATTTTTTAATTTTTTAATTTAATTTTTTAACTAACATTCATATTCTAGACTGGTTTGGTCACTTTTATAAAGGTTGCATAAAACAGCCTGGTATATTAAAAGCATTGAGCAAAGTATGTAACCCCGCATTTTGTAATTTGTAGGATTCTCTTTTCCAAAACTTTTAATTACCGTTAAAGTTAATGAAGGCTTTGAAATAAAGCACATTAATGATGCCAAGCAATCTAAATGAAGCCACAGACAGTTTAAATGCCTTTAACACATGTAAGACATTGCTGCTTTGTCTGTAGCGTGTGATTTGGGGAATGCTGATGTTCGTGTTTTATAACACTGGTCATCTGTCTGTGGTCGCCTACATATGTCAGTTCTGCTCAGTCACCAGTCTTCCAGCTCTGCTGATACATGTCGTCATAGTGTGTTTTACTGTAGATTGAAATGCGAGTTTTATTTTGGTAGTCTCTCCAGCTTCCAGTTTCTGTTTTTTATAGTCTTTGATGTCTTGTGGTTGTGCAAAAGAAACTTGTTTTCTCCTCTGCGTTTTTCTGTGTCTGACATCGATACTGAAACCATGCATGAGTGGCATGTGTGAGTCATGTGACTGCTTGGTGGCTCTGTGTAATTCCTGGGGCATTCCATTTTGAGCACGTCACTATGGTAGAGTTTACGATAGGTTATGACCCTTCAGAAACAACCCAAATACAAAAGTAAAAGAAACAAAAAGCCTTTTGCTAATTTCACTTTGTACTTGAGCGTATGGTAGACTTACTACATACATAGACTTGCTTGAGCCAACCTTTATGTAAATTTGAAAAAAGCCCCTCCCCCCCATCCAAACTACTACTGCTACAGCAGATGATCTTAAAGTATGTCCTTCAGAGATCTAAAAAATAAAAACTGCTAAGACCTGACACAGGACCTGGGAGATACATCTAATCCTTCAGCTGGGCCATATACTCTTCACTAATGCTTTATTATAAATGGTCTCAGTGGCTATCAAGAAGCCATTCTTAAAGAGGCAAAACTGGGGGAAAAAGGCTGTGATATGCCAAATTACACAAGAAGTGGGGCTGTATTTCAGCCAGTGGTGTTGGGGATCTTGTCAAAACTTGAACAGAAAAACATACAATGTAACACTTCCACTCATGGATTGACCTCCCCAGAACCTCAACATTATTGAAGCGGTTGCAAATGATCATCACAGAAAAGGAAACAAAAGGCAGCCCACGTCCATTTGAATGTACTTCAAGCAGCCTGGGGACTCCTGAAGACTGCTTAAAAGAATTTACAAGAAAGCATGCCTAAGGTAACTGGAAACTCCTTTTAACCCTACAACCTAACCTTCCATGTGACCTGACATGCAGCTCCTGAAAAGTATAACTACACGTTGGGATGACACAGCCCACAATGACTGAATGGCTTGGAAGGTTAAGGTGAAAGGTTAAAAGGGGTTTCTGGTTACAACACAAGTTACAATGTAGATCTTTTTTTTGTGTGTGTATCTCTAAATCACACTTAAGAGAGTTCAGGCTTTTGAATAAACGCTGTTAAAGAATAAAGATGGGCAGACTAAATAACTTTTCATAGATTATACAAATTCAGTTTTTGCACACACATTAGTACATTTTTTGTAAACGTGCCAACTTTTACCCCTTCCTCAGATGCATAATCATTACAATGCCAGTGGTAGTCAAAGCTGTAAGTTCAAATCTAAGACGTGCGTGTTGAGTCTGCTTGTCACAACCTCTTGCTGGAGAGAAAAAAACAGGGTGTACCTACATGCAGAGACAAGTCTACACCACATCGTTGTCATATTCTAGGAATCACTTTTTTTTTTTTTTTTTTTTTTTCCAGGGATTCAGTCACAAAGTAAAAGTAGAGTTACTGTATTATAGGTCACCATCCTGACAGCCTACATAGAAACAAAAATAAATGATGTAATAAGAAAGTGTTTGCTTATGTGGAGTTAACCTTGATTATCGACTTAAGTAAGGTTCTCCAACTAATAAAGGAAAACGCCTAATGTGTAATTCATCATATATATATTGCATTGCTTTTGAACCAGGCAGAATGTAATTGAAGAATTTGTGCTTAAATAAGTAATCATAAGTGAACTATAGCAAAATATCATGTTTGGCAAGATGCTCTGTTTTGGAGCATTGGTGTCTTGTCGGGATTAAATAACAGAAAAAAATATATTGATATTGTGTCAGTGTTGCTATAGACTAAATACCAAGAAGCTCTTCTGTTGCAGGGTATATCCTTCTTACATATCAAAGCGTTATGAGTGATGATATTTGTCAGTGAATTAGACAAACTTAGAGGTGAATGTTAATCAAGAGATAAAAATGCAGCATACTCAAAAAATAATATTGATCTTTGTCCTCTACATTATCTACACAGCATCATTTTCTTGAAACTAATACCTGTTTATTTGTCTCTACAGTGGAGTCTGATTGGTGACTCAGCATGGAAAGTCCATATTGCAAAGTTTTCTCTGTTGGTTGGATCCATCTTTGGATATCTGGTGTTTGGAATATTAGCAGACTGGTAAGACTTTCGCACCATCCTTAATTGAAAGATCATGCAAACCTTAAAGGTGTTTTATGCTTATTACAAGTGTCATTTTTGCTCTTACCTTATTCTGTAGGTTTGGCCGCCACCCAGTGCTGATCATATCAGTACTGTTCATGTTGGTGTTTGGTTTTACTGTGGCCTTTTCTAGGAACGCCCCCATGTTCAGCACATTGCGTTTCTTTGAGGGCTTCTGCCTGGCAGGAATCACCCTTTCTCTCTACGTCCTTAGTAAGTAATTCAGTTACTCCCTACTAAAAGTCCCTTGGGTTCCTTTGTCAAACACCTTATATCCTCAGGTAGTTGCTAAGGTTGTTTGTTCATTACATGAAAGAAAACAATGGAAGGTTTCCTAGAAAAACACAATAACAGTTTTGTTACATGAAACGGCAGCTTTTCAATTCAATTCGGTTTTTATTTATATAGCGCAAAATCGCCACAGAAGTCACCCCAAGCTTTACAGTGTCAAGTAAAGACCCTACAATAATACAGAGAGAGCAGAGAAACCCCAACAATCAGATGACCCCCTATCAGCAAGCGCTTTGGCGACAGTGGGAAGGAGAAACTCTTTTAGTGGAAAGAAATCTCAGGAGAGAAATTTCTCCCTGCAGAAACAGGGTTAGGGAGATGCACTCAGCTGCCTGCCAGTTGGAGGTGAAGGAACAAAGACAGGACAAAAGGCACGCTGTGAAAGAGAGCCAGACATTAATAATAATCTATGATTAAATGTAGACTGATATATAAACACATTGTTAGAAAATCTTACCTGTAGGTAGCTTGTTAGTTGGCTAACTTACACTCTGTTGTGTTATTTGAAAATTTCAACCTCCAAGTTGCTCTTTTTCACAAGTCCAACTTCATACAGCTGTTTAAATATTCATATGATGGTTATACACAGTCATAAAGAACTAAGTACACGTCATGAATCAGTATCTTGTACGGCCACCTTTAGGAGCAATAACTTGAAGTAATAGATTTCTGCTTGACTTAATCAGTCCCTCACTTGCTTGTGGAGGAATTTTGGCTCACTGTATTGCTTCATTTCTTTGAGGTTTGTAGGCATTCAATTATGCACAGCTCTCCTGACGTTCTGCCACAACATTTCTTGCAGGATGAGGCCTGGACTTGAGTGGGCCATTGATTGCAACACCTTAATTCTTTTTTTTTTTTTTTTGTAGAAAATCTGCAGATTTTAGGCTGTGCTTGGGACCTTAGGCCCTCATTCACTAAAAGTACTTACACAAAAATCTGTGCACAATTTGCACGTACAAAAGTGTCACACATAAATCTGTGATTTACCAAAATTTTCTTACCCGAGTTTATTTGTTAGTACTAGTAGTAGGTAAATTAGAATAAATTCAGGTTGAATACTATTACTACTACTGCTACTATTGTTACTAATATTAATGCTACTAATACTAATAATGTGATTGCTAGCTTTTGGTCATTATTTATAATTTTCACAAACACCATAAGCCACAAAATACTTGGACTCCACCATTTAAAAAAACAGGCTTTAATCCTTTGGTTTAAATATATTACATTATTCTCTTATATCATCTTATCAACAGTGACTTCTACCATTGTTGGATGTCATCAGTTAGTCTAATTTTTTTGACTAAGTGACTGCTGATTTATTTATTTATTTTCTTATTTGATGCCCCCACTTAGGCCAAATTGAATGTCTTAGGCCAAAAGTCATTTCAAAGACCATTATTTAAGCCTGAGGCTCACTTTTTTTTTTCCATGGGAGTGATGACTCTCTGGAACGCTGTGCCTTTTCTGCCTTCCTAAACACCTTCCTTATAGAGAAATTTGAGTGTGGCAGTTGGTATGCAGATTGCACCAGGCTGTTGGTCTGGAATGATTCTGATTTACTACCATACACATAAGAAAGAAAATAGGTTGGTGCGCATGCTTCATAAATCTGACAGTAATTTATTTTGTACGCACGTATTTTTGGCTAAGGGTAAGAATGTTTCCACACACATACTAGTAAATGAGGAGCGTTGTCCTGTTGCGTTACTCACTTTTGGTCAAGGTTTAGATGTCAGGCATTTGACTCTAGATTACTTTGGTAAACAGAAGAGTTCATGGTCAGCCTAATGACTGCAGGGTGCACATGTCCTGTGGCTGCAAAGAAAATGCCAATTCATCACCCCTCCACCTCCGTGCTTGACAGTCAGTATGAGGTCTTGAGGTCTGATATCTTTTGTTTGCTTTTCACCAAACATGGCGCTGTGCGTCATGGCCAAACACTGGCGTCTTTAGTCTCATCTGTCCAAAAGACATTATTCCAGACATTTTATGGTTTGTTCAGATGCAACTTTAAAAACTAGGCTGAGCCTAACCTATACTGATTCACTCTTTTTCTCAGTGTTCTACAGATTCTAAATCTGTATAATCTGGTATGTAGCTCAGGTTCTACAGACCTTTTGCAGGTTTCTGAGCAGTGCACAGTTTTCGGGTACATTTCCAGGAAAGACTGTGGTTGTGTTAACACTTATCTGAATACCCCATACCAGCGAACTGCCCAAACCTCTGCTTTCATTGAAGTGGTCACACTTATTAATGATGAGTTAATCAAGTGGGCTTGATTAGCAGCATCTGGCTGCTTGCTGCGTACCCTCTTAATTCCTATGGAAGCAGTAAGGGTGTACTTGATTTGTCACATGACTGTGTAGTCCTTTCTGGAGTACTTTCTTTTTCATGTGACTGTAGCTAAGTAATGTTAATGGAAATAGGTTTAAGCTAACAGCTTTCTGAAAGAGCTCATAATTTTATAAGAATGTTGCCTTGAAAAGAGTCTGCTGATTAAAAGCGCTTTTTGGCTGGACTGGAATTAAACTTCTGTAAATCATGTTAAGGGCACGACCCAGTGCCATCACCATACTTAATTAAATGTGCTACAAAGATAATTTGTTTACAGTGTATACCTGGATTTGAACTTTTACCAGGTGCCAAATTACTTACCGTAACTGCTCATGCAAATGCTTACTGCATATGAAAACCAGTGTATTCATAGTACTTGTTTTTGTTTTTTAATAATGATAAACTAAAAACATTAATGTAAAAAAGCAGTAGACCACTCAACAGTTATTCACAGTGTCCAATGCAAGAACTGCTTGTTAACAAATCAAAATATTCCCTTTCACTCCTCTGTTCATTCCTAAATAACATATTGGTTACTCGTTGGTCTTGGTGGTTTAGTTAAACTGGTTTGTTTTCGGTTTGGCTGCTTGCAGAGGAAGTAAGAGCCAGTTTGTTTACACATCATGATCAGAGTTCCTTGTTGATACTGTGCGAATCAGGTGTATTAAGTCTAC